TCCTTCTAAACCTGATCGGACAAGCACGGGAAGCGCAGCTTTACCCCAATGGGCTCATTGGACGAAGAAGAAGAGAAGGAAGGCGAGGGCGACAAGGAGGCGATGACGAAGTCGACGTGGAGAACGTGAGCATAGCGAGGAACAGCATGAGGACAACGAGGAGGAAGAAAAACACAAGGACGAGGGCGAAGAGGACGCGGGCGAGTACGAGGAGGAATGCGGAGTACGATGACAACGACGACGACGACGACGACGACGGCGACGACGAAGACGACGACGACGACGACGACGACGACGAACACGACGACGGAGAACAGTAAGAGGCAATGGGAGAAGGATGTTGAATCAGGAGAGGGTCCTTGTGACCCCATCGGGCTATCCTAGGCGTTCCTGGTGCCGCGCCGGCTTGTCTTGGGGCCTGTTGGGAACTTCTTGGGGGCCTCTTGAGTCCTCTTGTGGGCTTCTGAGTTCTTGGGCTGTCTGGGCGCGTCGTGGGGCTCTCTGAGAGCTTTCTTCAGCCGTCTCGGCGCCATCTTTGGCCGTTTGGGGCTTTTCTTGGGCCGTTTGCGGGCCCCATAGGGGCGCTCCCAGAAACCTCTTTGGGCCCTCTTGGCCCGTCTTGGGCCGTCTTGGGGTTCTTGTGAGCTGTCTGGGTGCCTCCTGGAGCGCTCTTGGGGGTCTCTTGGGGTCTTCTTGGGGCTCTCTTGGGCGCTCTTGGGGCCCTCCGGGGAGACTTTTGGGCCTCCTTTGGGCTGTTCGAGAGCCCTCTGGGAGCGATTCCAAGACGATGTCGATTCGGAGTCCCCTCCTGGGCCGATTTGGTGTCTCGAGGGAAACGGCCACTTTTCAGAAAACCACAAGAGCATAGCAGACTACAGCAGCAGGGCAGACCAGCACGGCAGAACAGCACGGCAAAGCAGCACGGCATAGCAGACCATAGCAGCACGGCAGACCAGCAGCACAGCAGACCAGCACGGCAGAGCAGAGGAACATAGCAGGCCACAACAGCACGTCTGACCAGCACGGCAGACCAGCACGGCAGACCAGCACGGCAGACCAGCAAGGCAGACCAGCACGGCGGACCAGCACGGCAGACCACAGGAGCATAGCAGACCACAAAAGAACGGTAAGCCAGCACGGCAGACAAGCACGGCAGACCACAAGAGCATTGCAGACCACAGCAGCACGGCAGACCAGCACGGCAGACCAGCACAGCAGACCAGCACAGCAGACCAACACCGATTTTGTCAATTCGGCGCCGGGCAGACCAGCACAGCAGACCACAGGAGTATAGCAGGCGACAGCAGCACGGCAGACCAGCACGGCAGACCAGAAGAGCATTGCAAAACACAACAGCACGGCAGACCAGCACGGCAGACCAGCACAGCAGACCAGCACGGCAGACCACAGGAGCATAGCAGACCACAGCAGCACGGCTCCGTAGCCATTTTGGTTCAAGATGCTTCTGCCCCTCGGACAGAGAGTGGATACCTCTGGTCCGAGGCTAGCATCCGATTCTTGCAACCCCAGTCGAGCTGCGCGCTGCTGGGGCCCAGAGGTTCGCCGAGAGCAGCGGGGCACACCTTGTCCTCGCCTGGAGGTGTGGCCATGGCGCGCTCCCCTGGGGCGCCGCCTGCGCCGCCGAGTGGGAGCTACTGGTGGTGCAGCTCGAGCTCGTGTCGGACCTGGACCTGGGCGTCGCAGAGCCAGTGCTACGGTTCTGGTGCGAGGGCCCCCCCGCGGGTCAGGATGTGCTCGCGGTCGCCAGCGCGTGCGGCCAAGGATGGGCCCGAGGCAAGAGGGCGCCGCCGATGGAGACGGCTGGATCTTGCAGCCCCGTGGGCGCCAGGCCCAGCGCAAGGCGCGAAGGGCTGCTCGCGCGGCATCAGGGAACAGCGGCCGCAGCCCTGTCGGGACGTCCAAGAGCGGGGCCAAGGGCCCATAGAGAGGCAGCAGCGGAGCCAGCGAGGTCCAGGGCATCCTGGACTCCATCGCGCGCCTCGAGGACCTGCGCGAGCACCCCCCGTTAGGGGTGTCTGGCAGCTTCGTCGCAGAGATCGAGGCCCAGCCGGTCCGCAGGCGAGGCGAGCTGGAGGAGGCCCGCGCTGCGGCGGAGGTGGCCAAGGCTGCCGAGCTGCCGCGCCCAGCGCGCATGCGCAGGGAGGCCAGCGCGGCGGGCACGGCAGAGAAGCGCCTTGACAGGGCCCGCAAGGCCCTCGAGGCCAAGCGCGAGGCGCGCGAGCTCGTCGAGCAGCTCGCCGCCCTCGACGCCGAGCTGGAGGAGGATGAGGCCTTCCGCCGCTTGGAGGCCGAGATCCAGGCAGCAGCGGAGGCCGAGCGGCTGCGCCAAGCGGCGGAGCTCGCTGAGCGCAGCCATGTGCCTGGGCTCCTCACGCAGCTCCGTGGTCTGCAGGCGGCGCATCGCGCCGGCAACTTCGAGTGCGCGTGGTCCGAGATCGAGAAGCAGATGCCGTCTGTGGCGGCGCAGCTCGCCCTGGCCAACGCACCGCCGCGCGAGTCCTGGGCGGAGAGCTGCCCCATCGATGACGAGCTGGACATCAGCGACGACGAGGCGCCCCTGGCCTCAGCCGCCGACCAGGCCAAAATCCAACGGGTTTGGCCAGCCCAGCCCGCGGCCATGCGTGGCCAGGGTGAGCGGTTCGGGGCAGCCACGGGCCCGTGGCCGTGCGTCTCTGAGGCGGCCAGGCGCCCTGTGTCGGATGCTGAGCGGGCTCCTGCGTGGCCTGCTCCTGCAGGCGAGCGCGGCGGCGGCAGCGCTGCAGGGGCCGCAGCAGTGGGGCAGCCAGGCCTTTGACCTCGAGGTCGGCCATGAGTGCTCCCTCTCAGGGCCGAGATGCGGCGGCCAGGTGGGCCTGCCCTTCGGCCAGTCGGGCCCGCGAGGCGACATCGTCCTGCCCGACAGGGAGGGCACGACGGGGGTTGGCCAGGTGAGCCACCCCACAGGGCTGAGGGGATCGGGCAAGGTGGGCCCGCCCCGAGGCCAGCCAGACCTGCGAGGCAGCAGTGCCCTGGTCGGCAACCGCGGCCTGAGGAGGGTCGGCCAGGAGGGCCACCTCACAGGGCTGAGGGGATGCGGCCAGGTGGGCCCGCCCCGAGGACAGTCGGACCCGCGAGGCGAGTGCGCCCTGGCCGACAGCCTGTCAGGAGACGGCCATGCGCGGCCCCCTCGTGAGCTGACGGCACCGAGGTGGCGCGGCGCGCAGCCCTGCATGAGCCCAATGGTGCGGCCAGGAACGCCGCTGCGACCACCACCTGGCGGCCAGGAAGAGGGCAGGCGCGGTGGGAGTCAGCCCCACGTCGACGCAGCACCTGCCCTCGGCGGCGGCAGGGAGGCGCAGCTGGGCGGGCCGGGACAGCAGGCAGGAGGAGTAAAGCGTGTGGACGCGGCTGACGCCATCATCGGGAGCAGGGTGCGCGACCTCGACCCGACGGCGCAGGCGCCGACGGCCGCGTTCGCCGAGGCCCTCGCCAGCGGCCTCGTCGTGCTGGGCTGCAGCGGCAGCGGATGGCGACGCTCCTTGGAGGCGCTGGAGGGCCACGCCCGCCTGGTGGGTGCCTGGCCGCACGTCGTGACCCTCCAAGAGACCTGACTCCTGGCGCCGAGCAAGATGGCCTCCGCGTCCGGCACCGCTGGAGCCCTGGGCCCTCACGGACACACGGCCTTCCATCGCGCCGCCGAGGCCACGGCGCCGCACCTCGGGGGGGGTCTCCGTCCCAGTGGACAGTGCCCGCAGGCCTCTCTCACCGACTGCTGGGAGTGGAAGTGATGATGCCGTCGGGCCTGGAGCTCATGGTCGCCTCGGCCTACTTCGAGCACAGCATCGGGCCGAGGGCAGGCAACCTCGACCTGCTGCGAGCGGCGGCGCAGCTCACCATGGCTTCTGGGCGCGCGCCGTGGCTCCTGCAGGCGGACTTCAACATGGAGCCAGCGGCCTTACAGGAGCTCAGCTGGCCAGAATGCCACTACGGAGTGGCCATCGGGCCTTTGGCCCCGACTTGTTTTGCCGAGAAGCAGGAGAAGACCTTCGACTGGTTCGTGGCGTCGCAGGACCTGGCGCACGCAGCGAGTACCTGTCGTCCTGCGCCAGGCCCGGGGCTCCTCCCTCACTCGCCTGTGGAGCTCACCCGCCAGGGCGCGAGGCCAGATGCGCTGGTCCAGGCCCTGAAGAAGCCGCGGCCTTTCCCGCATCGGGACATCAAGGCCTGCGAGGCCCAGGAAGGCGCGAGGGTCGATGTCTTCCGTCGAATCGGCCGAGCGGGGCGATGGCAGCGAGGTCCCCCCGAGTAGTGCCGGCAGCCAGGTGAGCGGCCAGGCAGCCTCGCGCTCGGCCGGCGGCAGTGGATGGCAGTGGATGGCCTGACGCTGATCGGCATCCACGGCATCGACCAGCAGCAGTGGGGCCAGCACTGCGGCCGAGAGGAGGTGGGCCCGTCCGGGTCCTCAAGCCTACGAGCGCCCTGGCGAGACGCAGGCATCGAGTGCTCCACGCCGCGGCCCCTCACGAGCTGCGCTCTTTGAACGACCTCGCACAGCAAAGCATCTCGAGGCGGAGGCGGCGGAGGAGCACCACACGTCGCACGAGGGCTGGCACAGCAGCGAGGCCCACAGGCGCTGCAAGCGCCTGGTTCTCGAGCTGGATGCTGCAGCCAGTAGCGGGCACGGCTTCGACATCGGTGGCGACCGGGAGGAGCTGATCCACGTCGCGCGCGTGAAGGGCGTCGCCGAGGCAGTCATCGTGCTACGTGGGCGGCCTGCAGCGGCGCACCGCCATGACGCCAGCAGGTCGCAGGCGGAGTGGAGGGAGTGGGCGGAGGTGGCGGTCCAGCGGGGCGGGCGCCTGGCGCACCGCTTCGCCCGAGCCGCCGCTCCCCCTGCCGTCCATACGGCCGCTGGCAGGGATGGCCTCTGCGCTGCAGCTCGGGCAGGAGTGGCAGCGCCTTGGGCTCTAGGACGGCTTCCTCGGCGACAGAGGCGTCGAGACGTAGGACGTGAGAGGGGCTGTCCTACCCCCTCTGACGTTGGAGGGCCTGAGGGAGTGCTGCCGCCGCTACCGCCCCCAGTGCGGGCTGGGCGCGAACCAGTTCCACCCGCGCCAGATCCTCCTCCTGCCGTGTCGGCGCTGCAGGAGCGGCTGCTGGCCATCACGCAGGAGCTTGAGGACGCCCCCTGCAAGGTCTGGCCGGCTGCTACCAGGATGGCGCTCATTCCGAAGCCCGCGGGCGGCGTCAGGCCGATCGCGCCGCTGCCGCTGATGTTTCGATTGTGGAGCCGCCTGCGCCAGCCTGTGTGCAGCCAGTGGGAGGGAGCCCACAACTTCCACTTCTTTTGGGGACGCGGAGACCGTGGGTGTGAGCGCGCAGGCTGGACGCACAACACGGCCGCGTCGCACGCCCAAAAGACAGGGGATGGCAGCTGCGTCCCTGTGCGTCGACATCTCGAAGTTCTACGAGAATGTGCGGCACGACGTGCTCTGGGAGGCGGCGGTGAAGCATAATTTCAACTTGAAGCTGTTGAGAGGGCTCCTGGTCAGCTACCAGAGCTCGCGCTGCGTGGCCATGGCGGGGCTGTGCACGGCGGCGTTCACCACCAGCGGCACGATCCTGGCTGGCTGCGCGCGTGCCGCTGCCTGGCCAAGTTGCCCATGCTGGACCCGCTCCTGGCGATGACGGTGGGTCGCCCCCTCGTCTGCCCCGGGAACGTGGTCGACGACGTGTCCCTGCAGGCCATCGGCACCGAGCGCCTGGTGGTGCAGCAGCTCAGCGAGGCGGGGGCCCAGCTGGTCTCCATGCTCGTGGCGCGGCACCTGCTCGCCAACGCGACCAAGACCCACCTCCTGGCCAGCACCCCCGCGGTGGCGAGAGGGCTGAAGGAGAGGTGGCAGTTCCACGGGTGGTCCTTCAGCCAGGAGCTGCAGGCCAGGAACCTCGGCACCGACGCCTGCTGGCGCGCAGAGGAGTCGCCGAGAGTGCTGCCAGGGCTCGGCAAGCCCTGAGACGCGGGCGCAGGACGCAGGGCACGAAGGCAGCAGGGGTTCGTGTCGACGCTGCCTACAAGGCTGGGCCCTCATCCAGCTTCCTCTGGGGGAGAACCGTCGTCGGCATCTCTGACGGCGACCTGCGCTGCATGTGCATTGCTGCATGCAGGAGTGCGGGATCGTCCAAGAGGCCTCCCAGATGGCCCTGGGACGGCCCAAGAAGCCCCCAAGACGGCCCAGAGGGGGCCCAAGAAGGCCCAAGAGGCGTCCACTACGGCCAAGATGGCCTCCAAGACGGCCCTGAAGCACCCCAAGAGGGCCCCAAGACGGTCCAGAGAGGCTCCCAAGACGGCTCCCGACGGCGTCAGACGGCCCAAGAACGCCCTAAGACGGCCAAAGAGGCCCCGAATAAGCCCCCAAACAGGAAGCTCCCAGGAGACCCTAAGAGTGCCCCAAGAGGCTCCCAAGAAGTCGACTTATCCTTTTCCTTATCCTTCTCTTCCTCCTCCTCCCTGTTCCTTCTTCGCCTCGTTCTCCTCTTCCTCACGTGTTCCCCGGAGGGTTTCAACGACGGCTGGGGGAACATTTGGTCCGATAGTTTGGATAAGCTCTAGCCCAACTTTCGGCCACACGGGCGCTTCCACAAAGGCAGGGGGCGCGATGATTCGCCGTAGGCGTCTTCGGTAACTCCTCCCTGTCGCACCCAAAACGTGTCGGTAGGGCGGGCTGGGCGTTCCGCCTCAGATTTCCGCGCTACTTCTGATCCTGAAGCACGAACTGTGCAACAGCTTCAAGGATAGAGGGGAGGTCATTGTTTTAAATGTGGCTCTCGCGTTAGCGCCGCACAAATTCGCCTTTTAAGTTTGCAGCAATTTCAGAGATGCAGGGCGGGTGGCATTCAAAATGTGGTTATCGCCCTCGCGCCATGCACATTCGTCTTCAAAGCTTGCAGAAGCTTCAAGGATGGAGGGCGATTCCTTTTCAAAATGTAGTTATCGCATGGTTGCCGTGCACATTCATCTTAAGAGCCTCCAAGTGTTATAGGGACGCTTATGGATGAAATCCCAAGAATGGCTTTCTGACGCGGCTCAATAGTATCGGAAGGAAGCAGGCGGTGTCAAACTCCCTGGAATGGCGTTTTGACACGATCCAGGATTGTCAAGACGCAACAATCACGTTGATTCCCTGCGTCGAAGTCCCTTGAACTGCGTTTTGACACGACTGACGATTCTCAAACGGTTGCCTTCCAACGGGGCACTTGCCGCAATGAGATCCAATCATTGCACGGACCTGTGAATAAGGATTCGCAGAAGGTATCTATACACCACCACCGTGCCAAGGCAGGGCCATCATGGGCCCCAGGATGGTGTATACGCCCTCCTGGCCGAGGCCAAGAGGGTCTATACACCATCCTGGGGCCCAGGATGGCCCTGGCCTGGCACGGTGGTGGTGTATAGATGCCTTCGTCGGAAAGGAACTTGGAGGGCGTATTGCAACAACGTGTTCTTCCCACCACCACCACCCGACCGAATCGCAAGCTGAGGACATCGAAGCCCTCCGACCCAGCCACGCGCTCACCCAGAGGCGCGGCGCCCGGGCGAGCCCAGCGCTCACCACTTGCGCTCCCAGCGGGCGCCGCTCTCCCACATGACGGTCTGGTTCGGAAGCATCTGGCCCTCCGGAAACGGCGGCTCCACCAGCACCCGTGTGCCGCGCACGACGCCCTTCTTCTCGTACATCTCGCCGCTTTTCTTCTTCAGCTGGAAGGAGATCGAGCACTTGTCCTGCTTCACCTGGAACAGCTCGCCGTGCGCGTCCGAGAACCACTTCTCGCCGCCGAGGTCGGCGCAGCCGGACTTGGCGATCGCAGCGTCGAGCTCCGCCGCGCGCGTGCGCTCCATCTGACGCCTGCGGGCGCCCTTGGGGCGATCCTCCTCCGAGTCCAGGGCGCTGGCCTGCACGAAGGCGAGCGCCATCAGCATTGCCGCCATCACGCGCGCCATCGCTCGGCTGAGTGAAAGGCAGAAGGGGGTTGTGAATGTAGCAGCGGAATGGAATGGATGGCAGGCACCTTGAGCCAATATAGCTACGGGAAGGCATATTGCAACAACGTTGATGCGTCTTGGGTTTTCACTGATTCTCCTTTTCCTCCACCATCATTTTCCTTGTACGCAACTCCTCCCCGTCGCACCCCCAAGTGCGTCGGTAGGGCTGACCGCGCGTTTCGCCTGAGACCCACTCGTACTTTTATGGCCCTGACGCTTCAGATGTGCAACATATTCAAGCATGGAGGGCGGGTCGTTGCAAAAGGTGGCTCTCGCCTCAAAGCCGCAAACAATCGTCTTGCAACTGCACAACAGATTCAAGGATGGAGGCGGCTCCTTTTCAAAATGTAGTTATCGCATTGTCGCCGCGCACATTCGTCTTGAAAGTTCCCAAGTGTTCAAGGGTTTATGGGGTAAACTCCCAAGAATGGTGTTGGGGTGCGAGTTAGGATTGCCGGGGCGAAACAGTCAAGTTGAATGCGGCATTGAACTCCCAGGAAAGGCGCTCTGGCATGATTTAGGACTGTCAGGACGCAACATTCACGCTGATTCCCTACATTGAAGTCCCTGGAATTGTGTTTTGGTAAGATCGAAAATTCTCAAATGATTGTCCGTCAATGGGGGGCACCTCCCGCAATGATACAAATCACGGTAGGGACCTATGAAGAGGGGACTTTTAGAGAGGGGCGCATTGCAGCGTCGCTGACGCGTATCAGGTTTGCAGTAGTCCTTCTCCTCTTCCTCCTCCGCTTCCTCCTCCGCTTCCTCCTCATCAACATCCCCATCATCATTAGCATAGTCACCAGTGCCATCATCACAATCATCCCCCAAACCCTCCTCATCCTCATCATCCTCATACAGCCGTCCATCAATCCATCCGTTTCTCCCTCCTCGTTCCTCCTTTCTCGTCAGAGTGAGGGGGCCGAACGGTCATTCACTGTCCCTGGGTGCGTGGCTGAAGTGGGATTCCGCGGTGCGGATTCGTGTTGTTGTTTGTTGTTGTTTGTTGGTGTTTGTTGTTTCGTGCCACCCGCAACCCGCCCCGCGACCCACCCGCGACCCACCCCGCGACCCACCCGCGACCCACCCGCGACCCACCCGCGACCCACCCGCGACCCACCCCGCGACCCACCCCACGACCCACTCCGCGACCCACCCCGCGACCCACCCGCGACCCACCCGCGACCCACCCCATGACCCACCCCGCGACCCACCCCGCGACCCACCCGCGACCCACCCCGCGACCCACCCACGACCCACCCCGCGACCCGCCCGCGCCCACCCCGCGACCCACCCGCGACCCACCCGCGACCCACCCGCGACCCACCCGCGACCCACCCGCAACCCACCCCGCGACCCACCCGCGACCCACCTTCGACCCAAACAACCACGTTCAAGGTACAAACCAACACTTTCGGCGCCTGCGGCGGGCTTTTTTTGCATTCCTTCCAGGTGAAGAGCCCGCGACCCACCCCGCGACCAACTCGCGACCAACCCGCGACCCAAACCACATTCAGAGTAAAAACCACATTTTTCGGCGCCTGCGGCGGGCATCTTTTGCATTTGCCCTAGGTGGAGAGACCGCGGCCCACCCGCGACCACGTTCAGGGTACAAACCTAATTTTTCGGAGCCTGCGGCGGGCATCTTTTGCACTCGTTCCCGGTGGAGAATCCGCGGCCCACCCGCGACCCAAACCACGTTCGGTGTACAAACCAAATTGTTCGGCGCCCGCGGCGGGCATCTTTTGCATTCGTTCCCGGTGGAGAATCCGCGGCCCACCCGCGACCCAAACCACGTTCAATGTAGAAACCAAAATTTTCGGCGCCTGCGGCGGGCTGCTTTTGCAAGAGGAGGAGGAGGAGGAGGAGGAGGAGGAGGAGGAGGAGGAGGAAGGGGACGACGACGACGACGTCGACGACGACGACGACGACGACGAAAAGGAGGAGGGGGGAGGATCGGGAGGGGGGGAAGAGGAGGACGACGAGGAGGAACATGACGACAATGGGAGGACGATGATGGAAGGACGAGGGGGGGAGAGGGAGGACGAGGAAGAAGAGGAGGAGGAGGAGGACGAGGTGGAGGAGGAGGACGACGATGACGATGAGGACGAGGACGAGGACGAGGAAGAGGAGGAGGAGGAGGCGGAGGAGGAGGAGGAGGAAGGAGGAGGAGGAGGAGGAGGAGCGCCATCGACAAGGAAGGTGGGGGCCACGAGGTCCGCCGGCTTGACGACGCCCGCGTCGCCCGCGCCCGCCCCCTCACTCTTATCCGCAATTGCGGGGTGCTACGTACTTCTTACTCCTCGGTTTCTGGCACCTCCTGCTCCTCCTCCTCATGCCTCCTCCTCGTCCTCCTCCTCCTCCTCCTCCTCATCATCATCCTCCTCATCCTCCTCCTCATCCTCCTATTCGTATTCCCTTCTATTCTTGACGGCGCAGAAGAGGGCCATATGCGGCCAGCCGGATGTGAGCATCGAGGGTTTGAACTATGCGGGTTGCCACGTTGAGGTATGATGCTGTGCCCATCTGTCAGAAATTCGGGGCCCTGGTCTAAAGCCATGGCCGCAGCGACGAAGGATGACGCAACGTCGGCCTCATCCGAAAACATGCCAGCGAGAGCGACAGTCCGGGAAGCTTCACAACAGACAGCCTCGGGGATACAGGTGGCTGCGGAGCACGCGTCACCCTAGCGAACTCCGTCGCAATGGACAACAACAGCCGCGTCACGCAGCAGACGGCTAGCAGTTGATGGAAAGGAGTTCTGCCAATTACATGTTTCGTCCATGGTGAAACTCGCGAGTAGTCTGTTTTCGCCTTGAGCTCGCGGCGCCTCCACACTATGGGGTCCACGTGGCACAAGTGGGGCAGGGCGCCCCTGTCGAAGAGTCTAGCCAAACGGTCACAAATCAATTTGAGGATACCGCAGTGATCGGAACCGTCTGGGAAGGCGTTGCCCATGATGATATTCACACGATGTTGACAATCGCAGTTGTTGGATGCTGACGCTGACAATTGCAATGATGAAGATGAAGAAGAAGCAGCCCGCAGGAAGCTTCCATTCGATCGGCTCGCCCTGGATTTCTGCTGCTGCGTGGGATGCTGGCAAATCTTCCTATGTGCATCCGTTCACCCGCAATCGTTTGCGCGGGAGTTTCTGGGTGACCAGATCAGTACTCGCGCGAACGCACCCCGTGACTCAAATATCCCATTGGCGACATACCCACGTGCAGAACCTCCCAAAATGCCGTGTTCGTGTTTGCATGGAGCGGCAACCGTCGCGAACCCTCCTGCCCCTGGATGCATGGACCAGTTTCAACAATCGTGTTTTGTACCATCTGGCATGCTTGTACTGGTCCCACCGATCGCGCGAACGTAACGTCTGGATCAGCCCCGGCACTATTTGTCAGCGAAGTCTCCCCTCATGCATTTTCCAAGACAGACTTGTACGTAGATGACGCGTATACTGCGCATGAGAATGCACTGTCGTATCAAAGCCTCGTCCTCCACATCCTCGCCATCATCGTAACACTCCTGCTGTTCTCTCTTCCTTGTCCTCCTTGTCGCACGACCAGACGCATCGGCAAGTCGTTAGTAGCGATTCACCTGAGGCTTCCTCACACTTGAAAGCCCTAAAGCTTGAAGTTTGCCACAGCTACGTTCGAGAGCAGCAACAACTACATGGATGGAGGGTGGATAGATTTAAAATGTTGGTTCCCGCATGTGCGCCGCACACACTGTCTTTTGAGAGTGCACACCAGCTGCACGGATTGAGCAAGCGGGCGTTGATATCAAGCTTTATCATCTGCACCGTGCACGCACGTGTAGCTCGAGCATAATACGAGAGGCTCCCAACAGCTACCTGGAGGAAACACTGGTGGCGGTCAAAATATGGATCCGCATACGGCTTAGCGCCGCCCGCATGTGTCTGAAAGCTTCCAGCAGCTACACGGACAAAAATGTAACTTCACCAAAATGTTCATCTGGCCTAGGATCTCCTAGGTTTCCTCCTCCTCCTCCTCCTCCCACTCCTCCTCCTCCTCCTCCTCCTCCTCCTCCTCCTTCTCCTCCTCCTCCTCCTCCTCGTCCTCCTCCTCCACCTCCTCCTCCTCCTATTCCTCCTCTTCCTCCTCCTCCTCCTCCTCCTCCTCGTCCTCCTCCTCCTCCCGATCCCCCTCACCCTCCCCCTCCTACTCCTCCTCCTCCTTCTCCTCTTGCTTATCCTTCTTGGTGTTATTAGAATTTGTATTAGAATGCTTGACTAATTCTTAATAAGAATGTTATTCGGACTAAAAAATAATGATGATTCGTTGGGTTTTCTTCCGCTTTGGTATTAGTATGATTGGTAGTAATAATACTATAAAGAACTACTTCGAGTATGAACAATACTAGTATTAGTATGATGCTTACTATTAGTATTCGTGTGATGTTAATGATGCTCATCGACATTGATAGTATCAGTATTGTTGCTACTAGCGTCATTACTCTTAGTAGTAAGAGCGTTGCTAGACTTACAAGGAACAACAGTACTAACAGCCCTATAAGTGCGATAGATATTGCTAAACCTCATAATACTACTGATACTACTAATACTACTACTACTACTACTACTACTACTACTACTACTACTACTACTACTACTACTACTACTACTACTACTACTACTACTACGACTACGACTACTACGACTACGACTACGACTACTACTAGTACTACTACTACTACTACTACTACTACTACTACTACTACTACTACTACTAACTACTACTACTACTACTACTACTACTACTACTACTACTACTACTACTACTACTACTACTACTACTACTACTACTACTACTACTACTACTACTACTAACTACTACTACTACTACTACTACTACTACTACTACTACTACTACTACTACTACTACTACTACTACTACTACTACTACTACTACTACTACTACTACTACTACTACTACTGCATCTACTACTACTACTACTGGCAATAATATTGTTTCAACTGTTTGTAGTACCGGTATTAGTTCGACGTTTCTTAATGGC